ATTCCGCTTCTAGCTATGGCTGGCAGCTGTATCTCTCCCAAGTCCACAGCAGCTTCCTACGGAATCAAAGGTTCTTTTCAAATTTATAATCCCTGAAAGGGACAGATTACCCAGTAAGCAGGGCTTCTTTGTGCTTACTTACTAATCTGCAGTGAACAATTTCACATCTTTGACATGCGAAATTGTTCACTACAGATTAGTAAGTAAGCACAAGTCAGCCCATGCATACCTTGCTTATTGGGTAATCCGATCCTGCTTCTCATACCACTTACATACTTAAGGTTACCACAGGCCGGGTGGCTCATCAACCAAGGCAGAAGGGAAAACATGCCGATCATGTGATCATGCAGATCAGAACTGCACAGTAAGAGGCCTGCAGGTGAATGGTGAAAGGTGTGCAGGATTCGGGGAGACCTATCTACCCGAGAGGAGCCCTGGCGCTGCAGTGGTTTGCTCCATAAAGGTTACGGCCTTGGAAACCCTGTGGGGCAGCTCTACTCTGCCCTATTGGATGGGTATGAGTTGGGATCGACTCATAGCAATGGGTTTACCTGCCCGAACCTTGGGGCAGGAACTCATTTTACCTGTGGTTGGACCCCCGACATTGTGGGGGGATTTGCAACGGTACAAATCAGTTGAGAAAACGAACTACCCAGTGACTGGTGTCCTCTCCACTAGAGTCCCCAGAAACAGGGCGGGTAGGTGCAATGTGAGTTGGAGGAGGTGTCCTCTCCCCTCACCCTCCTCAGCAGGGGGTACCTGTCGCTCATCTGACACCCAGAGTGACTTTGCCACTTTCATTTTCTGGCAAATAAAAATTGTCAGCACTAAACTTCCTTGTAATACTACTTTGTTATCACCATTTGAAAACAATAATAATAAAGCTTAAAAATATCACTTACGTTACTGGATTCAGTCATGATTTATTGATGATAATTTCAATTCAGTGATTTCAGAGTCAGGGGAGCTGCTTCCACTTCTGTCACTGTAGGTGTCCCTGTAGAAGTCAGATGTTTATTCATCATCTCCCACCCAAAACTCACTTTACTTCCCTGCTTTTGTAGCCACCATTACTATAGGGACCCTTGTGCGTACACAGCAGGATTAGAAAGACTCCTTACTACATGACACATTTAGCATGAGGCTGCAGAGGGATTTTCTTCTAATAACTAAAGACACACATTTAATTTGAACTTCAGTCATGATACCATAGCCATCAACTCAGAGAAACTAACTGGTATCTAATAAAGGTAGCAATGGGGTGTGATCCGCCCCCTAACACAGACCACAGGGCCCTACTGCCAAATGTGATCAGATCAGCATCGCGGGAACCCAGATGCTGCAGGAGGGGGACATGGCCACTAAGCAGGGCGGCAGAGGCGGCACAGCAGCACCTGAGCAAAGCCCAGGAAAGGAAACGTGCGCACAAATGTGAGGAGGAGCATACAGCGCGCCGCCCGAGGACCCGCTGCAGGAACAACGCCCTGGTTTCCGAGGCTTTTCTCATTAACGACCATGTGATGCTTCAACACAATGAAGCAGCGACCATCTAAAGGACTGAATGGAGCACTAGTGGTGCAGTGGTTAAGAGCCCAGCTGCTAACCAAAAGGTCGGTGGTTCGAACCCACCACCCACTCCGCGGGAGAAAGATGTGACAGTTGGCTTCCATAAAGATTTACAGTCTTAGAAACCCTATGGGGCAGTTATACTCTGTCCTATAAGGTGGCTATGAGTCGGAATTGACTCAGTAGCAACCGTTTGTTTTCTGGTCTTTTCAAGGACTGGAGAAGATGAGAAATTGCTGAATGAGTGATCAGTGAACCCAACTGGGCGAGAGCCAGCAGTCTTTCTGGAGGCAATGTGAGAGCCTCCCTATCGCGGCCAGGAGAAGGCCCAAATTGGGCGGGGAAGGCTTGATAGGTCTTGACAGGAACTCAGGGTGGTACTGAACCCCAACAAAAAAAGGATGATCTGAAACAGAAGTTCAAAAGAAACAGCTCCATTATGAATGTTATGCATAGAAGGCAAAAAGCATGAGAAAAAAAACTTGTTAAATTTTCCTATTTCCATCGACCCTAAATTATTCAAAAATAACTTCTTAATTTGGATGTAGGCAAACGATAACCCCAAAACACAGGAGATTTACATCCTTTCCTCCTGTATAAGTGAGTCCTCTCCCGTTTCCTGCTCCCTGCTTCCCTAGCTCCCATGACGTCCCAAGGACTGGGTCATGCAGTTCCTGTGAGATCTGAAGGGGCTTTAATACCAAGTCCAAGGCTCATTTGAGAACGAGGAACTGAGACCTAGAGGTTAAACAGCTGCCCGAGGAAAACCATGGTACAAGCATGATCCTCCCAGGGCTCCAGATACATTGTCCACCAAGGCCCTTCCCCTCACAAAACAGTGATGCTTCCTAATTCTGTGAGGTCATGGGCAACACCTTACATCCTTATATTTTCCCACATGCCAAGAAACTAAATTTTCCATTAAATAAGCTGCCCAAGTAATCACCTTCTAACTCCACAATTTCCATTCTCTCTCCTTCCATATCTTGGCCAACAAACTTCAAGCCTTGCTTTTCCAAACACTTTTTCAAGACTGGATTTACCTGTTGAAGCATGAAAGATAATTTTGCTGGTCTCTCAGCTGTGTTTCCGGAGTAACAGAAAGGAGAACAGTTTAAAGGTCACGAGGCTCAAATCGTCACCTCATATCTGTGGCGGTGCCTCTCCTCCACGAATTCCGGATCACCATAGAGTTTTCCTGACAAACAAGCAGTCTGATGTAAAGAAGTCTCATTTCACCACAAAATGTCTTCACAACCACACCCTGCTCCCACTTTACGTTTCATCATCTTCACCACCAGGCTTGTGAAGGCAGTTCTACGATTTTCCTACCAACCATGGTCATCAGCTTTTAACGGCACAGTTTAAACTAATTCCTGGGCTTTTGACTCTTTCTGAGCACTCTAAGGAAAATTATAACAGACACAGACTTTTCCCACCATCTTCAAACATGATCACTAAAGTACATAGCACTATTCTGCTAGAATTTTCCCCTAAATCTTTTAGCACCTATTAGTACTTGGTTATAATAAAATCTGTTTAGATTGAACCATATGAAATTGACATTTTTGTGGGGCAAACATGGTCAAATATCAGTTCCATACAGTTCAATCTAACAGTTTAAGGAAGTAACAGATTACAATGGACTTAACCCAACTGTCTCACTGTAGTGAGTCACCCATAACCAAGGTGCCCCAGGTCCCTGTCTGCATAGCCAGTGACCTTTCCCAGACCCACACTGCTTCTTTGGCTATCACACTGCATTCTAAAAGAGCAAGAATAGGAGGGGAATAAAAGAACTTCAAAAGCAAGAATAAAACCAAAATAGCCAGCCTGGTCCTTCAGAGCCGCGGCATCACCCGAGACACGAGTCCCAGGTGTACTGAGCTGAAGGCCCAGGCTGGCACAAGGCAGCTCTTACTCATGACTGAGTTCTTGGTCTGGAACAAGGTTCTCCTCTTGCCCAACCTCATGGTTCCGCCCATCTGCCCGGGATTGTGCTCCGGCATGTCTATGACCTGGAGGTGTTCAGAAAACAAACATGCAACACCCAAACTCTGCTTCTGTTACGAGACAGACTGCCTTGTTGAATGAACTAAAGCCGGTAAGTAGGTTCTATTTCCCAGCCTTTCCTTATTAAGAGATGCTTTGTCACAGGGGAAAGTGCACCCATTATCATGTTAAAACCTTTGTTGGGTACGGGGTTCACCCTTCAGCCTGTCCTCAGGGTCTGCAAGACTAGCCACAGCTCCCTCCTCTGGCCATTCCGTCCTTCAGCACTATGGATCACCAGTGTGGCTGGATGACAGCACATTCCAGTTAAGACTAATACAGGACAGTGGGTCTGAGATGAACCAGTGACCAGTTGTCTTCGAGTCAATTCCAATTCATGCTGACTCCATGTGTGTCACAGTGAAACTAAACTCCACAGGGTTTTCAATGGCTGATTTTTTGGAAGTAGATTGCCAGGCCTTTCTTCCAAGGCACCTCTGGGGGGGACTTGAACCACCAACCTTTCAGTTAGCAGCCCTGCGCATTAACCACCCAGGGACTCCAGTATAATACTATATGTTACGCAATGACGTGTCTGTCTCCTCCACCAGACGATAAGCTGCTCTGAGGCAAGGATGTTCATCTCTGGTCGGCTGTGCCTGAAGCAGGGCTAGCAGCCAGCAGGAGCTTGGCTAGCGTCCATGGAATGCATGACTGAGGGAGTGGGTGGGCCGTGGCATTCCAGCAGTGACGCCCCAGCTCAGCTCACAGGTCAGCACCCTCTGAGCGCCTGCTGACCTTGAGGGCCTTCTCTGTGCCCTACTCCCCACCACCCCAAGGCTCCACACTTTAACACCTATGCTCTTCTCCCCAAGTCTTAGTGTCCGCAAAGTTCAACAGATACTGATACTGTGGAGTTCCATGAGATCACCAACTTTCCTGTTCTGTTTATCAGTGTCCTTACTGTCAAGAACAATCCCAGTTGCTATTTGTGGAGTGCTGAAGAAAACTAAATGCCCTTTCCATGTCTGTCCCTGGGCTGAGGATTCGGGGATGAGTAATGGCACTGTCCCTACCCCCGTGAGCCTCGCAAATCCAGCAGGTCAAGCAGGGCCACGCTCCTCCAGCAGATTTAACACGGGGAACAGTGTTGTTGAAGGAGCCCTGGCGGCACAGTGGTTAAGCATTCAGCTGCTAACTGAAAGGCCAGTGGTAAGACCCTACTAGCTGCTCCATGAGACAAAGCTGTGGCAGTCTGCTTCCGTAAAGATTTACAGCCTTGGAAACCCTGTGGGGCAGCTCTACTCTGTCCTGTAAGGTTGCTAAGAGTCAGAATCCAGTCCATAGCAACAGGTTTTGTGGTTTTTTGTTTTTTTTTTTGGTTTATGTTGTTGTTTGTTAGTTGCCGCCAAGTCAATTGTGACTCCTGGCAACCCCACGTGTGCAGAGTAGAACTGCTCCACAATTCTCAAGGCTGTGACCTTTGGGAAGCGGATCGTCAGGCCTGGGTTGCAAGGCTCCTCTAGGTGGGACTGAACTGCCAGCCTTTCAGCTAGTAGTCAAACATTTAACCATTTGCACCACCCAGGGAAGTAGGCCAACCAGGAAAAGCTTTGGGTGCTGTTAAACAAATTAGCTTTCTATTCCAGCAGTTTCTTAATGATAAGCCCATCTCTCAAGGTTGCTGGGATTAAGTGAATTGATACCGATAAAGTGCAGAGAACACTACCTGGCACGTGTAAGTGCCTACACCTACTCCTCACTTATCAACTAGCTTGTTACGCAATGTTTCGCATTTACAACAATAGTAAAAAATCGACTATCCAACTATTTTGCTCATTAAATAGCTGGTAGGCGTGGTGGCAACAGCTGCAGAGCTTCCTCTACCTTGAGGAGGGTCTCCCGGCGGCCTCCGGGAAGCTGTGCCGCGCTGCCCTGCACCCTCCGCTCCCCGCTGCCAGCAAGGCACTGCAGGGGGTGGCCTCCTCCTTGGCAATGCCCTCCAGGCAGTTGTGCAGGCAGCACTGAGCCTGTGGGCACCTGTTTTGGGTTTCCAGTTTCTATGCTGCCTCAAAACTGCTATGGGGTGGGAAGGGAGGGAAGAAAGAGGCATTGGAGAGGGTGTTTGGAAGAAATGCATGCGAGTTTAATGACTTCCTAAAGTGGGCCGAACTGAGCCTGAAGCCTCCCCCTGTGTGCGGCCAGGCTCAGGCTCCCAGCACCCTCGCATGAAACCCAAGCCAGGCCTGGAGGGCAGAGTAGGCGCTGGGATCCTTAAGGCAGGGCGTGCAGGAGTGGAAGGAGTAGGAGTGGAGCCCCAGAGGCGGCTCCAGGAGGGAAGCTCTGACCCAGCACAGGAGAAAGGTGAAGTGGTAAGTCCTCCATTCACGCAGTCCGGCTTCATCCAGCTTTGTCTCCTCCAAGCCTCCTTTTCTACAGAGGAATAATCCATAACTGGACTCGTCACAGTGATGAGCACATTAGTAAATCTTAGCTGTTATTATTTCTATAATATTATCTAAATAAAAAAAACCAGACAGAATCCTCCATGTTTGCATAATGCCAATTTTCACATAACGACCTACTCTTTGTAATCTAACCATGTTGCTAAGTGAGGAGTGGTGTATGTAAGTGTTTCATATCAATATTATTATAAAGTGCTCCTGGTAGCTGAGAGGAGCTGGGGTGGAGAATTATTTTAATCAGGAATCCCCTCTAGTTGGCTATAGCGGTACTTGTCTTAAAATTTTTCTGTGGCAAATTAGGAAGAATACTGAAGAATTACATAATGAAAAATAAAAGTTTTTCCTGTCCAGTAAGCCTAAAACAGCAAACCTCAAGGTTCTCTGGGATGGACCGAAGTGGTCTCACTTCCTGCCTCTAGCCATCAATCACTTTCATAAAAGGCCCTCCCACACCTTCTAAGTGGTACTGAGATTCAAACAGTTGACTCACCACGAGGTGACTTGTCTTAGAGTCAAACTCTGTAGAATTGGCATCTGAAAAATCAAAATACCTGTGTTAGGAAAATAGTTACAAACAAAACTGATTATTTAATAGTTTCATTCCTAAGCTCTAAATCATAGCTTCCCTCCTCGGTTTAAAGTCATTCAAAGATTAGGACAAAACCTAGGGACAGCATTTTTAAGACTTGAAACACTCAACACACAAACTCAGGTCAATGTTTTCTATTGAATCGGTAACTCTGGGAAGTCAAGCAGTACAAAATGGGGACACCAAACCCAATGGCAAAACCCAATAATCTTTATTGAGATAATGCATCTTTGTGACCTTTCTTATATTACTGTCTTAATTTTTTTTTTACTTTTTGTTTCAGACTATCTCTCCAAGATGGGCAAGTGCTATTTCATCTCCATTTCCTTCATTCTTAGCATCTAATACATTGCCTTACTCACTTGTCTTGCTCAATAGCAAAATCAGAAATTTAACTGATTTCAAAATCCAAACAGCCTTTCCATCCTTTACTGAATCTACCATCTAACCATAAGCTAAAACCACTAAAGACTAAAAGGAAAAGAACCAATCTCCTGGAACCGTGTGTCTGATTCTTTCTGTGTGAATGGTAGGTACTGTTCCCCTCCTGGGCCTGAACCGGGACCAGGTCTCAACTGAAGGGTAAGCTCATGCTCAGGTCGGTCACCAATCTGGGAACCTGAGTGGGAGGCAGGGGGATCACAGCTGGGAAGGGTCCAGGGTGCCTGAAAGGCCAGCTCTGGGATGCTGGGTGGTAAGACAGTACCTGTCAGGAGCTAAGAAGTCAGAAACCAAAGGACGTGCTCCTACAAAACTGAGCTCCGGCCCCCTCGGGGTTACTGTGAAGCAGCCTCAGGAAAAATGCAAAATGGGAACCCAGCCTAACAGCAAGCTGGCCGAAGAGAACCACCCGTACTTTGTAGAGCAGTTACATGCCTTCAGGTTGCTTTGTTTATTTTTTTTTTTTTTAGAACTTACAAGGTATTTCTGAAAATCTAGTATCTGTCAGTTGGGCTAAGAATAAAGGGGCTATGGCCGACTATGACATCAGAGGCCCCATGAACCGCACCCTCGTGTATCTCTTTCCACACTGACTCTGGGCTTGGCCATGTGACTTGCTGGCACGTTGGGCTTGTCATTTTGGAAGGCAGCCACCATGCTGGGAAGAAGCTTGGGCTGAACGAGCAAATGATGAGCCGCCGCACGGGAAGACCATCTCGAGGTCCCTGCCGGAACGCAGGGCAGGAGTGATCGCAGATACACCATGTGGAGCACAGAAACCGCCCCCCGAGTGCAGTCAACCCGGAGAACACTGAGAAATACTAAATCACTGCTGCATGAAGCCACTGTGTTTGGGGGTGGTCTGTTATGCAGGATGCACCTTAGCTGGGCCAAGAGCTGGTATCGCCGAGCATTTCCTATACGCCAGGTGGTGCTGAGGACTATTTACATCAATTATTTCACTTAGTTTTTACAACCATGTGAAGTAGGTGCCGTTGTTATCCTCATTTTACAGAAACAAACAAAGGCCCAGAGAAGATAAGAGGCAGGGAGACTAGAGTACTGGAAATGGAACAACCAGAACACAACCAAAGAGAACGCTGACACGCTGTGAAAGACGCACTGATGTCACCGAACAATGTGTGTGGAAATTGTCAAATGGGGCCCTAACTTGCGGTGGAAACTTTCACCAAAAACACAATAAAATATTAAAAAAAAATTTAACAAGGCTCAGAAATTTCCCTAAAATCACCCCATTAATTATCACTTTAAGTTAGAACCTGAGCCCAGGTTTGGTGGCTCCAGAGCCCGAGTTCACAGTAGCTAAGCCTCACTTAGACCCGTTTTCTCACTGGACACAGCCCCGTGATGGTGGCCATGGTCACCACAGTGATTCAGGGGCATAAAGCTGGGTTGTGTGCTCAGCGGTGCTCCCTCATTTCTGTGCCATCAGCTTTGAGGAGCCAGGCTTCACCTCCATAAACACGGTGATCCCCTGTGCTGCACCCAGCAAGGCACTGAGAAACCAGGCCTGTCCCCCTCTCCTCTGCTCCCACCGCCCAATGTGCATCATCAGGCTTCCTGTCCTTCCAGGGAAAAGGTGAGCGGGAACTTAAAGCCGTCTAATATTAGGCAGGAGCTTTTAAACGGACACTTACCTTGCCATCCCAGCACATTTCTTGAGAATTCAACCACAGCCAGCTGCATTCCTAAGCACACACCTTCCGAGTGGGGAGAAAAACAAATGAAGCTCCACTGAGAATGTAGCTCCCACGTTTCTAACCAGCCTGCTGTGAACTCTGTGCCCATTTGTTCACAGATCTACAGTCCCGATCAAACTCCCATCACTTCCTGCTACAAACAAGCACCCCCTGCTGTTCGGCTCTCTCTGTACCAGATTCCAAACACTGGGACCAAGTGGACACGGGGCTTCCAAATTGGAAAAACTTCTGTTTTACAGATAAGCAATATCCTTTTCAGAACTTAAAAATTCTAGTTAATGAAACCTTTCATGGAGTCCCCACTTACAACTGATCAAGGTGAAAATTACTAAAATTCATAGCATCAGGAAATACCCTAAATCACGGTGTACAATTACAGTCGACAGGGGTGTCGTGTGAGGAGGTTAATAGTACTTGATTTGACATGAATGGTCGAACAGTCCTTAAGTGGACAGGATTTCCTAGTTGATATTTCATCCCACCCAAAATTCCATGACATCTACATGTAGCTCACAAGCTTGTCCATGCTAATGGCGAGTCTGAATTTCTCCCGAACAGAACCAAAAAGTCTTCTACTTGAGCTGCTATCTAGAAACAGGGCATCCATAGTTTGTTTCAATGACCTTCCCGTTTTATGGATGGGCGCCCACACGGCACCTTCTCTTCCTCTTTCCTGCTCTGACTGAAGAGTGCACTGAGCAGCTCCTTACCCAAAAAAGGCTTTTTCTGTTTTCGAGCCCAGCCGATTGCTTGGATTTTTCCTTCCGTTCCTCGAACTCCAAACCCTCCTGGAACCAGCACTCCACTGCAAAACAGAACAAACCACATGGCAACTCCCGTTTCCACCAGTCCAGCTTGCAGTACACACCTACGCAGCCATTACTGAGACACTGGTGCCAGGAAGTCACTCCATATATTTTGCCGCTGGACTGTGTTATTTAAAGACTGCCAATGAGATATATGCAAACACCAGGAACTTAAAAAACATACTAAACCATGGCGTCTTCTTAATAATGCTAGAAAATGCTTCTAACAAGTGAAAAAAAATACAGTATACATAATAAAAAAAATACATTAACTATACAATTACTATTTGCCCCAGGTACTGATCTTTCCTAATTTTTAATTTCTATTAATATCATTTATTTTACCATTTGGCTGAAAGTGCTCCCCCTTTATTATGCAGCATTTCTATGTGTGCTGGAGTAGGAGGGGGCCTTTCCGCGCCAGCTCAGTGTGCCAAAGTGACCAAAAGTCTCAGTGATAGCTGGACTGCCTCTGTAACATTCAATCGTTCAGTAAAATAGAAATTGTTCCTAACTTTTCACTATTATAAATAATAGCTGCCAAAAGCAAAATATTTTGTAGAGTCTACTGATGGGTACTCATAAAATATTGTGGGTAAAAAATCTTTAAATAAGCCTCATCAATGGACACATGTAGCAAAGTAGACCAATAAAATGAGGACGAGTTTTCTTCAGGCTCAACTATACTGCTAAGCTGTATTTTTTAAGGACGAAATCATATAGTATATAGTCTTTTCAGTAATTAAAACTATTTAAACAGGTAGATTACTTACTACTGGGACACAAAAGCATACTACTTTGTTCTTTAAAAAAAAACCCAGGAAACCAGAGGCAGAGAACAGGACTTACTGAGCACTGCAGAGCTTCTGCCACGCTTCGTGGTAGTGGGTGGGGTCTTCGTGTAAGGTGCTCGGCTCCAGGTCTGTAGAATCTATGTACTGGGGGGTTGTTCAGACAGGGGAGGGAGGGGCAGGCTCGTGATCCAGAGCCACGGTCTCTCATAATTTTAAGATAATATTATCAATAGTCTATCTTTCTTAGTTTTAAAATAATATGTTTAAATTTAACTATAATTTTAAAATAAACTTGAAAATCTTTCTTATATTTTAAAATACAAGAGTTTCCTTCAGTATCATCCAACTCCCAAGTCCAGCTCTCCATCTGCTGCACACTGGGGTCTGCTTAGGATCCCATCTCAGCTAAGCCACTGGAATAGGCTCTCAAGTGTTTTCTATCCAAGAGACACTCTCTCCACTTCATCTTCCACCCGAATTCTTTTCATTCTTTCCAATTTTACTGAAGCATAATTTTAGATACAATTTTAGGTGGACCCTTTTATGAGTTTTGTCAAATGTACAGACACACCAGTCATCCCCAAAAGGAAGGTATTATCAGTATCACTTTTTAAAGGTGAGGAAACTGAGGTACAGAGAGGGTGAAGTAACTTGCCCAGGGTCACACAGCTTGTAAGTGGTAGAGCCAGGATTGGGGCCATCTGGCTCCTGAGTCCACACTCTGAACCTCGACACTCTTACTGCCTCGTGCAGAGGCCGGCAGGGCCGCTGCCCTCACATTGCACAGCTCAGCTGCTGCCCACCACTTTACAAACCAGAACATAAGAACTACTACTGACAGAGTGCCGCCCATGTCCCAGGCGCCCATCCCAGTGTATGAGATGGATATTATTACTCCCACCTTACAGATGAGGAAAACGGTACCGGTACAGGTTAAGAATGGGAGTCCAAAAACTCAGTGCCTCAAAGGCGTGGCCTCAGAGTCACGAGGCATCTAGAATGGTTTCTAGGCAGTGCCTTCAACTGTACAACATGCCTCTGGCCCATTTCCATGGGCGATTTTATTTGGTTCCTAATATTCAGATCCAAGCATTCACTCTCTCATTGTCTACTCTCGCCATGTCTCCCCTTCATTCTTTTGTGAAAATTCCCCCACAGCTCTTTCAAAGCCAGGAGCCAACCACAAATCTTTTCATCACTAAGAAGAAATTCTGAGCTCCAAATGTATGAAGCAGATATGCATACAGCATCTGCCAGTATGGACTCTGCCTCCCTGTTCGCCCCTTAGCTGCACCCACACCATCCCTTCTTACCTTGATTTCCAACTTGTGGTTGATGGCCAGGGTGGAATGCTCTAGAGCTTTAGTGACAGAGGAGTATGAGTCGGGGAGCTTAGTGTATTTGCCCACAAGGGCAATAGAGCAGGTCTCCAGCAAGCAATCATATCTACCAACAAAGGTCAACAAACACCCATTTACTAAGACTGTACATAAACTTGTGACATGACACTTTCTTTTTAAGGAGAAGACAGACATGTTGGGAAGAAAATAATAGGAGCAGATATTAACTGAGTTCCATGCATAGACCAGTAAACTGGAAGGAATTTTCATATCAATGTGGCAGGCTTTTTAAATAAAATAGATTTCAGAAGCTGTTATAAAGAGACTATTTCAAAACCTCATACAAATCGGTTATAAAAAATTAAACTCTGAAAGGGTAAAAAAATTAACAGACATGAACAATTCACAACAGTTCATGTGATTAATAAACCAATATAAAGAAAATTATTTAGCCCAGCTAGTAAATCAACAGAAATCCACATTAAAAGAAAATGTATCTTATAACCCTTAAATCAACCAAAAATCTCAAAAAGTAGTAGTATTTAAATGTTGATAGGTGTAGACAGAAACTGTTACACTAACCAGTTACTTTTAAAAAGAAGTTGAGTAACATATACTCAGAGTCATAGGAACCATCATGTCTTTCAGTTCAGGTATTATGCTCGTAGGAATTTATCCAAATGGTATGAAATAGTCCAAGGAGGGAAGGTGGGGTAACAACTATATAGATAAATGTTTACAGTACCAAAACTTATGACAGTAAGTCATCTCAAATTCTTTATACAACATGAAAAAAATTAACAGAAAATAAAATCTGAAAAACTGTCAACAATCTAAGTGCCGCAAAAGAAGGGAATATTCAAATAAATTATGGGGCAGTCACATGATAGAACATTCTATACTCATTAAAAATAATAATTATACTTCTGAATTCATTCTATGAAGCCAGCATAATCCTGATACCAAAACCAGGTAAACACACCACAAAAAAAGAAAATTCAGACCAGTATCTCTCGTGAATATAGATGTAAAAATTCTCAAAAAAATTCTAGCCAATAGAATTCAGCATCATATTAAAAAATTAACACACCTTGACCAAGTGGGATTCATACCAGGTATGCAGGGATGGTTCAACGTTAGAAAATCAATCAACGTAATCCACCACATAAAAGAAAGAATCACACGATCACCTTAATCAATGCAGAAAAGGCATTCGACAAAGTCCAACACCCATTCCTGATAAAAACTCTCAATAAAATAGGTATAGAAGGGAAATTCTTCAACATAATAAAGGGCATCTATACAAAACCAACAGCCAACATCATTCTTAATGGAGAGAGGCTGAAATCATTCCCCTTGAGAACAGAAATGAGCCCTTTATCATCACTTCCATTTAACATTGTGCTGGAAGTTCTAGCTAGAGCAATAAGGCAAGAAAAAGAAATAAAGAGCATCCGAATTGGAAAGGAAGAAGTTAAACTGTCTCTATTTGCCGATGATATGATACGGTACACAGAAAACCCAAAAGACTCCACGAGAAAACTACAGGAACTAATAGAAAGATTCAGCAGAGTAACAGGATACAAGATGAACATACAAAAATCAGTTGGATTCCTAGACACCAATAAAGAGAACTACAATAAGGAAATTACAAAATCACTACCATTTATAATAGCCCCTAAAAAAATAAAATATTTAGGAATAAATCTAACCAGGGATGTAAAAGACCTATAGAAAGAAAACTACAAAACACTACTGCAAGAAACCAAAAGAGACCCACATAAATGGAAAAACATATCATGTTCATGGATAGGTAGGCTCAATATTGTGAAAATGTTAATCCTACCCAAAGCACTCTACAAATACAGTGCAATTCTGATCCAAATACCAACAGCATTCTTTAAAGAGATGGAAAAACTAATCATTAGCTTTATATGTAGAGGAAAGAGGCCCAGGAAAAGTAAAGCACTACTGAGGAAGAAAAATAAAGTAGGAGGACTCACACTACTTGACCTCAGAACCTACTATGCAGCTACAATAGTCAAAACAGCCTGGTACTGGTACAATGACAGACACATTGACCAATGGAACAGAATTGATAACCCAAATGTAAATCTATCCACCTACGGTCACCTAACCTTTGACAAAGGCCCAAGGTCCATCAAATGGGGAAAAGACAGTCTTTTTAACAAATGGTGCTGGCAAAATTGGATGTCCATCTGCAAAAAAATGAAACAGGACCCATACCTCACACCATGTACAAAAATTAATTCAAAATGGATCAAAGACCTAAATATAAAACCACACACTATAAAGGTGATAGAAGAAAAAATAGGGTCAACGCTAGAGGCCCTACCTAACACACGGCATTAACAGGATACAAACCATAACTAACAATACACAAACACCAGAAGATAAGCTAGATGACTGTGGTCTTCTAAAAATTAAACACTTATGCTCATCAAAAGACTTCACCAAAAAAGTAAAAAGAGAACCTACAGACTGGGAAAAGAATTTTGGCTATGTCAAATCTGACAAAGGTCTAATCTCTAAAATCTATAGGAAAATCCAACACCTCTACAACAAAAAGATAAATAATTCCAATTAAAAAATGGGCAAAGGATATGAACAGATTCTTCACCAAAGAAGACATTCCAAGGGCTAACAGATACAGGAGGAAACGCTGGTGATCACTAACCATTAGAGAAATGCAAATCAAAACCACAATGAGATACCATCTCACCCTGATATTACGGGCACGAATCAAAAAAACAGAAAATAACAAATGCTGGAGAGGCTTTGGGGAGATTGGAACTCTTATGTACTGATGGTGGGAATGCAAAATGGTACAACCATTCTGGAAAATGATATGGTGTTTCCTTAGAAAGCTAGAAACAGAAATACCATATGATCCAGCAATCCCACTCCTAGGAATATATCCTAGAGAAATAAGAGCAGTCACACGAATAGACACATGCACACTCATGTTCACTGAAGCATTGTTCACAATAGGGAAAACATGGAAATAACCTAGATGCCCATCAACAGATGAATGGATAAACAAACTATGGAACATACACACAATGGAATACTACACAATGATAAAGAATAATGATGAATCTGCAAAGCATCTCACAACATGGATGAAGGACAGCATTATGCTGAGTGAAATAAGTCAATCACAAAAGGACAAATATTGTATGAGACCACTACTATTAAAACTCATAAAAGGGTTTACACACAAAAAGAAACAATCTTTGATGGTTACGAGGGAGGGGAGGGGTGGAAGGGTAAAACACTTAATAGACAACAGATAAGCAGTATCTTTGCTGAAGGGTAAGACAGTACAAAATACTGGGGAAGCCAGCACTTGTCCAAGGCAAGGTCATGGTCATGGAAGCTCCACAGACACAATCAAACTCCCCGAGGGATCAAATTACTGGGTTGAGGGCTCTGGGACCATGGTCTTGGGAAATATCTAGCTCAACTGGCATAACATAGTTTATAAGGAAAATGTTCTATATTCTACTTTGGTAAGTAGCATCTAGGGTCTTAAAAGCTTGTGAGCAACCATCTAAGATACTCCACTGGTCTCACCCCGTCTGCAGCAAGGGAGAAAGAAGAAAACCAAAAACACAAGGGAAAGATTAGTCCAAAGGACTAATGGACCACAACTACCACAGCTTTAACCAGACTGAGTCCAGCACAACTAGACGGTGCCCAGCTACCACCAACAGAAAGGAATCACAATAGAGGGTCCCAGACAGAGCTGGAGAAAAATGTGGAACAAAATTCTAACTCACACAAAAAAGACCAGACTTACTGGTCTGACAGAACTGGAGAAACCCTGAGAGTATGGCCCCAGGACATCCTTACAGCTCAGTAATAAAGTCATTCCTGAGGTTCACCCTTCAGCCAAAGATTAGACAGGCTCATAACACAAAACCAGCCTAAATGGGCACACCAGCCCAGGGGTAAGGCCGAGAAGGCAGGAAGAGACAGGAAGGGGAGAGTGCTGAAATGTCATGGGTTGGCAAACAATGTCATAAAACAATATGTGTACTAATTGTTTAATGAGAAACTAGTTTGCTCTGTACACCTTCCTCTAAAATATAATTTAAAAAAATTATACGCTATAATTAGTAACAGAGGAAAATGCTTGTAATGTTTTATGAAGATCACAAAACTGTGTGCCATTTTTGTAGCTACATAAATACATACCTGTAAATGAACAAAGACTGAACGGGAACGGTCAGAGCAATGGAAGGTGTGTTCCCTCCCCAAATGCTAAAACCAGGCACACCCACTGCTCTGAAACACCGTGTGAAGATCTTGGACGTGGATGATGAGGCAATGTGAGGCACCACAGAGCTTTCAGAAGAGGAAAGTGAAGTGGGGACAGTCCTTGAGGTAATGAGTTTTGGTAGCAATAATAACAGAAGGGCATCTCTAGGGGGTGCAAATGGTGATCACGCTCGCTGCTAACTGAAAGGTCGGTAGTTCAAACCTACCCAGAAGAAAGGCCTGGCGATCTACTTCCAAAAAAAATTAAAAATCGGCCATGGAAAATCCTATGGAGCACAGTTCTACTCTGACACACATGGAACCGTCGTGAGTTGGAAACAACTGGACAGGAACTGTTTTTTTTTCAGTAAGAGAAGACTGCACACCCTTGCTGATCCCTTCTGGTGTGGGTGAGCATCATGTTCCCAAACACAGAGCGCTCCAGCCACGGTCAGCCCAGAAAACAGAGCCTACTTGTCTGGGCCTTCGGGGCTGTGTGCTAGCCCACTGCACTGGGACGCCTGTTTGAACTGACTTTCTAGCTGATGAGAGACAACTGTGATAGAAAGTAATCTGGACTTGCTGCCTGGAGACCTGGGACCTCGCCCCAGCTCTACCAGGACTCCCTCATCCAGGAAGCAACCTCCTGACAGCTAAGAGGCCTTCTTAACAATCGTAACATCTCTTCCCATTAAGACCTTTTTCAACATGCGTTGACAGCAGAAGCACTGAAGTACAACAGCAAGAGCTGACTTCCCTGAGGCCTTACAAACGAGAGAAATGAGGCTTGTCCCCCAGCGCCTCACTGAGGCATACTTGTCAGCCATCTCTTTCCACTTCATCAGCATTTTTTGTGGCTGCCTCTCAATAGGGAGATTGAGTCTTCGAAGAAAATAATCTACAACCCCTTGTTCTTCTAATAACAAGGGGACTTGGTAGATAGATGAGGCATCCTGGACACAGATGACCTGTTTAAGAAAAGAAAAAACGGTTATTTAATAAAAACAAACAAAAACTAACTGGCCTGATAGCCTCCTACCAGCTGTATGTCCTTGGGAAAATATCTGTTGTCAATCTGAAAAGTGAAAAGAGACCAACTTCTAGAAAAATGTAAATGATCAAAACCAATTCAAAAAGAATAGAGTAGAAAATTAGCGGTTACTCTATTATGAACAAGGATAAAAAAAAAAAACCTTTCTAAAAACTCACAAACCAAACCACAAATGTAAAAAAAAACCCATATCGAAGTAGGATCCATCCTAAAAACGCATGAATGCCTTAACAGAGGACCAGTGGTTCTCAGGCTCGGCTACTGATTAGAATCACTCAGAAAGCTTATAAAAATCCAGAAGCCCACCCTGCATTCCAGGCCACTTAACTCAGAAGCGGCCCTACATCCCCAACCCTACACCATTGCCGTTGAGTTGATTCCGATTCACAGCAACCCTATAGGACAGAGGAGAACTGCCCCATAAGGTTTCCAAGGAGCAGCTGGTGGATTCAAACTGCTGACCTTTTAATTAGCAGCTGAGCTCTTAACCACTGCACCACCCCAGGCCGTTAACTCAGAATCCTGGGCGGGAGGCAGCCCTGCACCCCAGGCCGCTTAAATCAGAATCCTGGCGGGGAGGAAACATTAACATGTGTTAAAGCTCCCCAAGTGATTAATACGTGCAGCCAAGTTGAGAACCACCTGTTACAGAATGAACTGTGTCCCCCAAAACTGTATGTGGGAAATCCTCACTCTTACGCCACAGATGTAATACCATTTGGGAACAGGGATTTCTTTATGTTAATGAGGCCATGTCAGTGCAGGGTGCATCTCAAGCCAATCACTTTTTGAAATAAAAGAGCAGATCAGGCACAGAAGCACGCCAGCGCAAATGGAGAAAGACTGATACCACATGGAGATCACAGGAAACCAAGGAAGAAGAGCTGAAAGAGACAAGGATTTCCCCTCAGAGCAGACAGAGCCTTTCCCTAGAGCCGATATCCTAACTTCGGACTTCTAGCTTCCTAAGCTGTGAGAACATAAATTTCTATTGGTTAAAGCCACTCACCTGTGACATTTCTGTTACAGCAGCACTAACAAACTGACACACGACCACGCAGGAAATTTAACAGTGTAATTCAAACATCCAATAACCTAGTCTCAAAATTCCTTGACCATAACTTCCCTTCCACTCTCCTTCAGCTAAACCTGACCAATGCCCCCATCTCAACTTATCACCCCCTAGAATTTCCATGCTAAGCGGGAAATTTAACAGTGTAATTCAAACATCCAATAACCTAGTCTCAAAATTCCTTGACCATAACTTCCCTTCCACTCTCCTTCAGCTAAACCTGACCAATGCCACCATCTCAACTTATCACCCCCTAGAATTTCCATGCTAAGCACCCTGCTCATATATATAACAGGTTCCAACATTTTGGATTTCCTGCACCACAGGTCCCCTCCATGAGCACAGCTAACAGACAGCCTACAACGCCCTCGACAGCTGGCACCAGGCACAAGGCTGATGAGGGGGTCTTTGCCCTGAAGAAGTTCACAGTCTACCAGGGGAGGCAAACACAGACACACACAAACATTCAAGGGCTGTTAGATAAGCTCGGTCCCTGGGTGGTGCAAATGGTCAAGCGCTCAGCTATTAACAAAACGCTTGGCAGTTCAAGTCCACACAGAGGCGTCAATGGCCTGGTGATCTTCTTCTGAAAAATTAGCCATTGGAAACCTCTGTGGAGCACAGTTCTACTCTGACATACATGGGTCGCCATGAGTTGGAATCAACTCGACTGGTACTCACACTGGTACGATAAGCTCACTACCAGCAGGTATGAGACACACAGGTAGCCTTGAGAAGGAAGTAGTTAACCGTGAGGTTTGAGGTCAAGGAGGTTTGGCAAGTAAAGCTTTTCTGAAAATGCCATGTCCTAGCCGGGCCCTGAAGGATGACAATGAAGAAGAGATTATTAGAACAACAGGGAGAGGGGGCACCGATTTCCCACAGAAATTAGCAAGCACAAAAAGCCCAGCACTAGAAGCAGCGTGGGGCATTAAGGGACTGGAAAGACATTAGGAAGGCAGAAGCATAAAGTACAAGGAGCAAGGAGAAAAGAGGCAGGAGAGGTAAAGGTATGACTGGGGAACCACAAGAGATAAGAAAAAGATGAGTCATAGAGCCCAGGGGTATCAGTTCTTCTAGGAACCTTCTACTGTCTCAAACTACAAAACAACTGTTAGGAGACTCTAGGACAATGAGAAGCAAAAAAGATTTACACGGAGATCGAACTGCTACTTACTTCCTCAGGTTCAACCTGGCAGAACATCGCTATTTTGTCTTTCACTGATGTTTCAAGAAGATCTGAGCACCTGCACACAATCTAGCAGTAAAGCAAACAAGTCGGTTTAGGTAGAAAGAAGGGGTGACAAAGTTGGGTTTTATTTCTGAATGAAATTAAAACAGACATCCCATTGCTAAGATGGATTAAAATGTTAACAATGAGCACAGCACAAGTAAACTATGAAGATACATTACCTATTTTCAGAACTTAAATCCCTAAACCCCAAATCCCAGGAGAATGGCAGTAGAAATGGCAGGACATTAAACAGACAGACGAATGAACCACACAAGCTAACTGGGGTTTTCCTCATTCGTTGCTATTCTTGGGTAGGAAGGAAAAGGAGAAATGAAGGAATAAGAGGAGAGAGAAGGCATGGAGAGTACAAGGCCTCACGCATGCCGGTTACAGAAATGGTGTAAAATAAGAGTCCAGTTCAGAGCACTACCTATTTTCTCTACCATCAGTTAAAATCGAAAGCAGGCCAAGAAAACAAAGGTCCTCTCTGTCATGGAGGAGTGATTTGAATTAGACATATAAGATCACACAGAAACCAGATAGTCAGGAAATCTTACCAGATCTGGGGAAAGTCCAAGTCCTCTAAGTGTCTGAACACTATCCCGAGTGGGTTTACTCCTCTCCTGAACTTGTTCACTTGTTGAACTTGGCTATTTTACAAAAGAAAAAGTTAATTTCTCTGTAGTAAAGAATTTTCAAGTATGACTTTTCCCTGAACATCTTTTACTAGGGAAGCTGATAATTTGACCATTCGTAGAGTTTTAATTTTTGTCAAAGTGATGCAGGCATATATTTCAGAGTCAAACAGTTCTACAAGGTTCATCTTAAAGAACAGTGATACCCAGTCCTCATCCATCTCCTCCCATTTTCCAAGCCCCAGAGGCAACCACTCTGCAACTCTTCTAATTGACCATTCTGGTATGTTTTATTGCTATGTCTTGACATTTAGTTTCAGGAATTTTCGATTCATTTCCCTGACAGACGACCATCCCACCCTCTCTCCCCTTCCCCTACCCCCACTACATGTACACCCTTCCAGTGCCTGCAGCCCCTGTCTCAGGATTTTGATTAGATCGCTCTGCAGGGTTTACATATTTTTGAGTATTTAACCGTTATTCAGTTAAACCTTGTCCCATACTTTTCCTTTCTGGTCTAATTTTTTGTTTTCCTTGACATTAATAAATTTCTTGGTTTTGTCATTTTGTTTTAATTGTAATTGTGTTTTCAGTGAAAGTTTACAGCACCAATTAGTTTTTCATTCAAAAATGTCATACACAAATTGTTTTGCGACATGGTTACAATCCCTGCAATATGTCAGCACTCTCCCCCTTTCCCTTTCAACCCTGGGCTCTCAGTGACTATTCATCCAGTTTTCCTGTCCCTTCCTACCTTCTCTTCTTTGCTTTTGGGCAGGTGTTGCCCATTTGGTCTTGTATACTTGACTGAACCAAGAAGCACATTCCTCGTGAGTGTTACTGTGTGTTTCATAGGCCTGTCTAATCTTTGGCTGAAAGGTGGACTTCGGCAGTGGCTTCAGTTCTGAGTTAGCAGGGTGTCTAGGGGCCACAGTCTGTGTGGTTCAGTACTCTGAGTTTTCTATGTACTATCTTTAGTCTCATTTCACACTTTAATTGACAGATTTGCTGGGTATAAAATTCTAGCTTAGAAATCCTTTTCCTTTACTATTTTTAAAGAAATAGCTTCAGTATCTTTTAGCTGCCAGTACTGAAAAGTCTAATGCCATTCTGATTTTTTGTTTCCCTTCAGAAAACTTTTTAGAGGCTTTTAGAGTTTCTGCCCCAATCATTCTCAAATTTCACAATGATGTGCCTTGGTGGGGGTGTGTATGTGTCATTTTTCATGCAATATGCTGGGAATTCTGTGGGCCCTTTCAATGTAGAAACTCTGGAAATTTCCTTGAATTGTTTTTATCAAAGGACAGCAAATGTTTGCTATAATGGGCCAGATAGCAAATATTTTAGGCTTTGTGGGCCACAGAGTCTCTGTCACAACTGTGCTGTGCAAAAGCAGCCATAGACAATATGGAAACAATAGGTAGTTTGATAAAACATTTAAAAACAGGTGGCAGGCTGGCTCCTGGTTCAAATTACCACTTCTCTGTTTCTCTGTTCTTATTTTCTAGAACTCCTATTATCTAGATGCTAGAATCCTAGACTGGTTATCTAATTTTCTTACCTTTTCTCTCCTACTTTCTGGGATATTTCTTCAGCTTTCTTTCGTTTCTAGCACCCAATTTTTAATATCCAAGAGTTATCTGTTATCTGCTGTTTTCTGAGTTCCCCTACAGCATCCAGGTCTTGTTTAATAGATGCAGTGTCTCTCCTCTGAATTCTCTGAGGACATTACTGACAAACGTTTTTTTCTAAGTTTCCTGCTCCCTGCAGAGCCTCAGTTTCCTCTAAGCTTCCCTTTATCCAGTTGTTTTGGTCTCATGCATGTTAGATGCTTTCTCCAAATGCCTGGGGACCACTGGATGCCAACAGCACTAAATTACACTTAATCCCCATGATTTGAGTTCAGTACTACTGCTCTCAACTGTCCCTAGTGGGTGCCCGTCCAGAAACTCTCTCCAGAGAAAAACCTACAGTCCTCTGCCAAGGTGGGAAAGAGGCTGATGCCAGACTGCACACATTAGAGAAGATGTGGCGGTCTAACTGCATCTGAAACAGCAGTTATGACTCCTACCACCCCCACCCCCCGGCTTACAGAAGTGCCCGGTGCTGCCAATTCCTAAGCCTCCTGGGGGTTCTACAGGGCAAACAGGGTTGCTTCTCTGCTTTCCAGGATTCAGCTCCCCCAGGTCTGCTAGGTCGGTTTCTACTTGCTCATCTGCTTTCCAGCTTCCTAACTTTTGTTACTGTTGACTCCTCTCACATTCTGTTTAGCTTTGTAAATGTTTACCTTAAAAAAAATCCTCTAGTTACAATGAGGTTTCGCCATACAGTAAAAACACACACATACCTTTAATCCACTTTCTCTTAACTGCAACTTCCCCTTTCCTAGTGTTTCCATCTGATCCTTTCAAAAAATAAAATTATAATTTTTAATTCACACAAAAAAGTTCTTTCTTCCCTGCTTCCTGCACCTCAAGCACTTAAAAATGTCAGATAAGGAGTGGAAATTATCCTTTTCTCCCTCCTGTCCATTTCTCCCAAAGTACAACTTTGAATACCTTACCTGAGGGACTAGACTGACGACAATATTACAAAAGTTCTCTCTTTTCACTTTGAATTGGAATTGACGGAAAGCTTCAATAAAAGGCATGCTTTCTATATCTCCCACTGTTCCACCGAGCTAGAAGAACAAAGTTATTTTAGAGATTAGCACTGAACTTCCTCTGGTGGTTTAATTATCTAACAACTGCTCCCTGTCATCTCAATCCAATATCCGTAAGAGCAGTAATACAGACTCCCTAGTCCTGTAGAATGTTAGTTAACAGTAATTAGACATTTCCTTGTGCTAAAAGATGACTTTTTCAGACAGGCTCACTGTTCCCCAGGGCTATTATGGATCTTTCCATATCACTTCAAGAAAAAGGTCAGGTGAGAGAGGTACTAGGAATTTTACTTGTATGGGACTCACAAAGCAAAGAAGCCTAAAGCCTATCTCCTTAGTTAACCATAGTCAACTTTTGCATTAAAAAGCATCAATTATAAACAAACTGCTGGAACTTTTGAATCTCCTATCTTTGAAGGAACACTGCAATCCAACAGCCTGAATCAGCATTGTGGGAGCACAGAAAAGCCAAAGAGCTTCAGTGGTAATTGTCTTACCAGTTGTTGATGGCTGACTAAGGAAATGAATATGTATGCTTGTTCATACAGACAGGAATCACGGAATTTAGAATAGATTCGTACCAACCTCAATAACACACACTTGAAGTTCCAGGCCATCTTCATCTACAGGAACTAACGCCTGTCTCATTACCCACTCCTGGACTGCATCCGTGATGTGAGGGACAACTGGGAAAGAGAAATGTGTCACCTAGGCTTTTCCATCAGCATTGACTTTAAACAAAGGGTCCAATCAGGATTCAAGCAGATACAACTTGTGTTAAACTGCTGCGCTCTTTGCCTTGACAGAGTAGCAGTGGGTCACGTTTCCTAATGGCCCCAACAAATCTTTGGCCTCCCGCTCCCTGCTGCTTCTTTTCCAGATTTCCAAGTTGTTGCTGGAAGCACTGCAAGACAGCAAGGCCGAGTACAGCAGCCTGAGCCACATGAGGCCATCTGTCCCTCTGCATTTGCGGAGTACACCCTCTGGCTGCACACCAGCACGACAGGCCATACAGCCACCCATGTTGCTTACAGCCAAGGTTGAAGGTGGGAACATCACACCTGTGTGCTTTCCCAGGCACAAGGGGCTGCCGGGACCCTGTTCCACCATGTTTCCAGTCACCAACGGGTCGACACTCCAGTGCAGAGGGCTGTACAGGATGGCAGTGGTTCGGGCACAGTGCCTGGCATCAGAATGCCTGCATTCTAATCTCAGTTCCACCACTCATTAGCGTGATCTTTGGGGAAAATTACATAACTATTCCTAAACTCGGTTTTCCCATCTGTTAAGTGGAGGTAATAGCTTAACATCTCAAAACCAAATCCTACGTTACCTTGGACAGTTTTCCCCAAGTAATCTCCTTTGTGTTCTTTGTTAATGACGTGCTTGTATATCTTTCCAGTGGTCAGATTATTGTCCTTGGTGAGGTGGATGTCAAGGAACCGCTCATAGTTACCCAGTCAAGGTCTACTTCCCCACCATCATCCAACACAAAAACTTCCCCTGTAGGGAACAATGAAAATGTTTATGTAAGTGAAAAATACATGTACCATGGCACAACTAGAGTTCCAAAGTGTAAACACTCAAATAGAACAAAGTCTGCATTCATTTGAGATAAGGCAAAGAAATGTACTTCCAGAAAACTAAATATGCATAAAAGAAGGAAAAATTATCAATCATTCTCCAAAAGCTAACATCACATCCCAGCCTGTCAGCAAACTCACTCTTAATCAGAAAGAGTTAGGAAACAGCATGGAGTGGAGGACATATATCAGACTTCTCAAATATTTGAAGGTTATCATGTTGCCAGATTCCATTTTTCAAGAGAACTGACAAACTTTCAGTCAGCCACCAAGAGACCATTTCTCCTGCTTCCTCTGTCCAACGAAGAAAAGCATTCTGTACACTAAGGATCTTTTGAAAAGGCAGGAAAAATGGATGTTATGTAATACAAAATATACATACAATTTCTAAGGGCCACATGTTCTTGTACATACTACATAATCATTATTTTAAAAAAAGAAAGAAAGAAAGAAATGCAGTCGGCTTACCATGCTCACACGGAGAGAACGTTCCTGCGTCAATTTTAATGTACAGGTCAATTTTAATTGACGTTACATGTAAACCACATAACTTCAGTATTGTGCCCACACTGCTGGCAATGATTCCTTTTCCAATTCCTGACATGACACCGCCAGTAACTAAAATGTACTTCATTTTAATTTTGACCTGGGAGAAAGAAAAACTATAGATAAAATATATCTCTGTCAATTTAAAAACCAGAACCACTTGGGTCAATTCTGACTCATGGTGACCCCATGTGTGTCAGAGAAGAACTGTGCTCCACAGGGTTTTCAATGGCTCATTTTTAGGAAGTAGATTATCAAGCCTTTCTTCGGAGGTGCCTCTGAGTGGACTTGAACTGCCAACCTTTTGGTTAGCAGCCAAGCACTTAACTGAGGTAAAAGAAAAATTATAGATAAAATATATCTCAACCAATCAATTTATCTGGGTTCAAATACCAGCTCTGCAACTAACTAGCTATAAGCTTTCTTGGAGTCTTGGTTTTCTTGTCTGTCAAAATGACTATGGAAGGTTGTCAGGTTTAAATGGGTCATAACAAATACTTGGATCCTGGAACACCAAACACCTTTAGTCAAATATCAGTTTAAAAAACAACTGCTACTCAAAGAATGCAGCTTTTGTTTAAAGCCTTGATAACTAACAACCTTGAGAGTCAACAACAACAACAAAAAAAAAACCACCTCTAAGCTGTCGATATAACACCATGCCCCAAATGCTGGCTGGCATCACTGCCAGAGGCTGGTATACCCAAGTGTCTGGTTACTCTTCTTAAATGAGAAAAAAAAATTTATTTCAATCTTGGCTAAGCACTCCAGTCCACTGAAAGAAACCTCTTTGGCTAAACTACAATGTAACGCCAGGAAAATACAGCTGCTCTAGGTTATGGATAAGAATAAAAGGATAGAGAGAAGAAAACCTCCAACATTTAAGCATTGCAGATAAACCTAAAAATTTGCAGTTCTCATCTGCAATTTAATAGCAACTTGCTTCTTGTCACCAGTCTCTCCCAGATATGCCATGAAGAGAGACTGTAGGTACTGGGGGACGGGGACATCAGATAAAAAGCCTACAGGAAGCACATCATGAGCAGAGGACTCAGAGGGTAGATTAGGTCAAACAGTAGTACAGTCACAGCAGGGAACGGAAGGACAGACTGGATGAGAGAAAAAGGACGGATACAAACACAGCAGAGTCAACACAGACAAGAGATCAGGAGATATGCACAGGCTTGTCAGGAAGGGTTTATTGCTGGTCCCCAGCTTCAGGGGCCCAAAAACCTCATTTGGTCAGCAAACCCAAATGTGATCAAATTGAGAAACACAGTCACCAAGTAGCAGAGAATGCTTGCTTGGGCGTGGTCAGGACGTTTTCCTCCTCCAGGAACACTCCATGTGAAGCAGAGTTATAATCAAAATAAGCTAAGAAAGGAACAAGGAACTGAGGAGTTCAACTTGAAGCACCCCACCCCCACCCCCACGCCTCCCCCACTTTTCCCCAAGGCTTGAATGAATGAGCTTGGCAAGGAAGTAAGAATGCTCAGAATTTCTTTGCTCTCATACAGCAAGGAAGCCACCAACCACATCCTGCTCTTTCTATCCTGTTGCAGCACTCCCAAAAGCATGTTCCACGGCTTCTACAAAATGCATACGGGATTCCCAAGGGGGGTTTTATGGATAAAGAAATTGAAGAAATGCTGATTACTCAAAATCAACTCGTTTCTTTACTCCCTTTAAATGTACACTGTGATCTCCCAAAAAGCGTATACAGTATGCCATTTCCCATAATTTGACCCTAAGTCTGTATTATTTGGGGGAAATACTACCCTGACCATCACCTTCCAGGGGAAATGTTCCTACTGAAACATGATTAGCAGACTTGGCTACATTTCAGATATGAGCTAACCAGACATAACCCTTGCTAAGACTATACCCCGGTTTTAGATGTCAAATTTTGGATGTTCCTAGAAATTCTTCAGCAACCCTTTTCATTGAGTGGGTTACTTCTACAGAAGACTAATCTCATCCATTTGCATTTGATGTGCCCAAATTTTACTCTTTTGGAAAGATTCCTGCAGTCTCCCACATTGCCTGGCAATAAATATTCCCATCTACACAACGACCAGGTGGGAGGCAGGGAGGACTCATTCGCTCACATTACGGGCTACCTGCTATGTTTGAGCTACTGTGCTAGACACTGTGGGAACCACAAAAATTAATCAGATTTGGGCCCCTACCTCAAGTTGTGGCCATCCAGTTAGAGGCGTGAGACATTTACAAGTAAATGAGCAATCCCGTGGTGGTGAAAAGCAGACAAAATGTAGTGTCAAGGGGGGAAGAAGGGATAGCAGAAAGCTTTCAGTGCCGAGACCAAGGTAAATACCATGGTCCATCAGAGCATCAGAGCAGGGTGAGGCAAGTAAGTCCGGCTTGGAGACTGCTCCAGCTTTGTAGACCTGAGACTTGCAATGGTCCTTGAAGGATTAAGTAGTTTAGAAAGTGTGGAAAAGGGTACAACAAGAGCAGCGTGTGTAGGAAGGAGAGAGGCATCTACGGGGAACAGGGGTAGGGCATATTTTGCTGGAGAAGAGGATGGTGAGGGGATTGTGGAAAATAAGTTGGAAAGGTAAGCAAGGGGCCAAATCACGCAGGAACCTGAATGCCCAACTCTGAACTCTATTCTGAAGGTGATGGGGGGATACTGGAGGATTTTCATGCACACAAGTAACACAGATCAAAATGCAGCAGGGGAATTCAACAAAGATGGGGGTGGGGGGGACAAAAACCAATCTAGAAATTGAGCTTTTTTTTTTTTCATGTTGTGAGGTCCAGTTCCAGCTCCACCACTTGTGCACGAGACCTCAGTCAATTAAGCTGCCGAAAAGTCTGAGTTCTCACATCTGTAAAATGGGAGTGATAATCTCCGCATCGCCTGTGTCACAGGACTGCTGAAGACTCAAAATTATAAAAAAAAAAAAAAAACTTCAAAATTATAATGTGTGGACCTATGTGCACCACGCAAATGTAGTGAACAACTTTAAAATGCCATTATCCTCACCGCCCGCAGCCTCAGAGAGAGGAACAGCTGTGAGGCCAAAAGGTACGTCGGTGGGTGGGCCGGGCGACCTCAAAGGCACCTTCCGTCCACGGGAGCCGGGACGCGCCACGTCTCCTTGTGCACTGAAGGGCCGAGGGAACCGCCGCTAGACGCCGAACCATCCACCATGGAGTGCCTGTCTGGGGCCTTGACCTCCCATCCCAGAAAGACTAGGTGCGTGCCTTGAGGCCGGAGGGTGAGGGCAGCCCGAATAGAGGCGGCCGCCAGGGCTTTCTCGGGGGAGGGGGCACAGAGATAGGGGGGCTCCCGCGCCTCTGCAGCCCTTGCAGTCCACGAGCCATCACTGGCTCAACTGAGCCAGGCCAGGCAGAAATTAGCGCTGCCGGCCCTGAAGACCCGGCCCCGCGGCCTCTACGAACGCCCCTGCCCCTTTGGACCCAGTCCCAGCAGCGCTCGGCCACGCGGTCTCGGGCGGTGTAGCAGACACCCAGTCGACCCGGGCCGCTCCCGTTAGGAACGCAGTCCATCGGGCAGGAGGCCGAGCAACCTCACCCCTGATTGGTAGGGAGCAGTGTCTGTCCCGCGCCAAGATTCGCTCGCGTCGTTGATTCCCGCATGGGATCCCTGGTTTCTGCCTAGCTGACACGGGCTTCAAATCAGCGAAAGAAGTAAGTTGGCAACGCACGTGGAGAGCCCCCAGCAGCCAGTGAACAAGCCTGGCCGCAAGCGATCGGCAGTTTTTCGCGGACGCGGGCTCTAGCCGGTGCGCATGCAGAGGGCCGGGGGCGGGGCAGGCGTGCGCGGGGAGCAGACGCGGCTTTCTGACTGGGCCGGGGGCGGGCTGCTCCGGGGAGTCTTCCCGGCCCACCGCCGACTTAAAACCAAAAAGCCAAGCCCGCAGCCCTCGAGGCAATTCCGACTCATAGCGGCTCTGATGGCGTAGTGGTTAAGAGCTGCGGCTGCTAATAAAAAGGTTGGCCGTTCGAATCCACCAGGTGCTCCTTGAAAACCCTATAGGGCAATTCTATTAGGGTCGCTATGAGTCTAGAGGCTTACGGCCGTCCAGATTGAGCAGGCTGTGGCGTTTCTGTCACAGCTTTTGTCACAGCTGGTAGGGGGAGGAGGTCGTTTTGGAACTCATATCTAGGAAATCCGTCGCCTAGCTCCAAACCCTTCCCCAACAGCCTGCTGAAGTTCCCGCCACCCGCTTCCCGCGCTGCCAGTCAGAGCCACATGTTCCGTGCATTTAAACGGCCAACCTGTGAGCACTGTTGTAGGGGAAGAACATCACAAAGTTTAGTCACGCAAAAAGAAAGTTTTATTCGGCATATATTCAAAAGGGCAAAAGTGGGGAAAACGGACCACCATGCTGCCAGAGCTAGCATGTCTGACCAAAAAATATCACAGAACAGACAAAAGTGGGAAAACGGACAAGCATACTGTCACAGCCAAAGACCATTACAGAATCATCAGTATATATTAATATTACAAATGGGCAAAACCATTGAAAGCTTAGCCTTTTCAGATTGGCTAGAAACTGTGATCCTACATTTTGAATTGTCTTTCTTAACAATCATTGGTACAGGTTTCAGTAAGGACAGTCAGGAGGGTCTTCACTGGTCCAACAAATTTCAATTCACTAAATGCTAACAAAAAAGTTAAGAGTGGAAAGTCTTTTGTGTTCTTTGATTGGCTTTATGTGAAAGGTTTCCCTAAAAGATATTTTCCAAGATTATTTTAGCTGTTGTCTTTATACCTCAGGGCCCAGTTGATATGTCCTTGTGAGTCCTCATGAGCCCAGCTACAGCTGGGTCACATTCTCTATGCTCAAGGAGAGGGAATAAATGATTCTATTATTATTTCCTAAATCAGCACTATGTTCATGGCTCCTGGTGGTGCGACCCCAGCCCATCTCTCCCGCCGAGCTTCTGGACCTAGGGTCACCAGCAGTGTCACCCCCTGCCTCTAAAAGGGAAGTCCAAGAAAGAGGGCTGCTGGGCACTGGCTCCCTCCTCTGAGTCCCTTTTCCCCACATCTGCCCTGACATCGGCCGCTTTAGATGAACAAAGGGTCCAGAGACATACGGGTCATCCAGCTAACATTAACTTAACTCCCACTATGTGCCACGCAGTGTGCTGGGCACGAA